TTCTGACTTGTATGCACTATGTGACACCAGAAGGGCCAGGATGGCTGCCAAGTTGACTCAGTCCCCTTCCCCCAATAAAGGAACTGCCTCTTACCTGCTGACTTGATGTTGTTTTGATGGTCATCTGTTGCTTTGCAAAGTTAACATTTTTCACTACAAGTCTGAGCAGATCTCTCTGAATCAGGCCTGCTGTGGGGGAGGATCATTTTGATATCAGGTTCTGTAACACGACGGTCTTCAGTTTTTCATTAGCCGTATTTTTGGTGATGCAAACACAAGAGCGACGGCAGTATGAAGTAATAGAATGGAATGCGTGTCATTGCAAACCCACCCCTGATGTCACGTGTAATCTGTAACCAGCTTGCTTTTGTCATTTTGAAATGATTCAGCTCTGCAGTTTGAGCTGAAAATTGTAGATGATAACTGGGGGAGATCTTTATCAAAGTTTGCAACCTCATTGTTTGAGTGAAACTCTGGAATTGACCAAATTTTGAGATAGATTGCACCAAATCTGAAGCAGCGCTACATTGTAGTTTTCAAAAAGATAGATACTTGATATTTTCAGTGTGATAAGTCAAAAAGTATTTGCTGGACTTTTTCCAGACTTTCCAGCAGACACATGGCATGGATGGAGATCTGGAACCAAAATTAACACCAAAATTCAAGCAGTTACTTAGTGGTGGTACATGAAAGGACAACCACAGAAATAGATCTAGTGAATCTGATTACACTGAGACAAGTCAGATAAAGCTGGGATTTTAAGATTTTTTTTGGAACGGGAGGGAGACTGTATGAGGGGTGATGGAGCCATCCAGGGAATACCTTATTGTCATTCCATTATCATCTAGTTTGGTTTTAAATGGAGGGAAGTCTGGGTTTCCCTGCTGAGACTGCTGCCCCCGCGACCCGACCTCGGATAAGCGGGAGAAAATGGATGGATGGATGGATGGATGGATGGTTTTAAATGGAGTTATGCTGATTCCATGCTTGGTTCTGGTTAGAACTTACCTGGACTCCTTGCTTTTTATCAAAGACTTCAGAGTCATAGAAAGAGTTTCTCCTTGGCTCTGTCCAACTGAATTTCAACTTGCGAGCTTAAAAACCTTCCCTCCCCCCAGATATACAGTCCATCCAGATATTCATCCATCCTATATTTGCTTATCCCAGTCAGGGTATATTTGCTTATCCCAGCCCACACAGTGCCAGCACAAAGCTGGGGTTTACATGGATGGGATACCAGTTCATAACAGGGCACACAGGCACACATACAGTCACAATTTAGAGATGCCCGTTAACCCAACAGGTTCTCTTTGGGAAGAAACCGGAGAAATGAGGAGATCATGCGAACTCCACACACCAGATGGATGCGGGGTTTGATCCCCTAGATGTGGAGGCAGCTGGGCTACCCACTGAGCCAATGTACTGAACAATGTATGACATGCAGCGACCAGAATTCATAATATCCATTAATAAGGCAGTATACAGTGCTCTTAGAAAGGGTGAAAATATTGATCTGTTGGTTTTATAATAAAAATCATTACTGTATTCATTTGTTTACAAAAATATATATCACATTATGTGGGAGTGACTGGTGTGTGCGTGTGCCCTGTGATGGGTTGGCTCCCCATCCTGGGTTGTTCTGAGCCTTGTGCCCACAGGCTCCAGACCCCCTGTGACCCTGAATGGGACAAGCGGTTTCAGAAAATGGATGGATAGATATATCACTTTAGAAACAACCAGAACTTTTATGTAAAATATTAGTTATTCAGAAGTAGTAATAAATTCAAACCCAAATTACAGTTCTAAAAGAGCTGCTCTGAGTTAAAAAGTTCATTGACATGCTGTCTCATTGGGTGCTTTTTAATTAGTAACTCCTTTGCAGTAACATAAAACACCAAACATTTGCATTTAGTAGGGCTGAACAATTCATCGATTTCAAATCGAAATCACGATTTGAAACAACATGGTTGGATGTGCATTATACAGTGTTTCTTGCCCTGTTTGTGCACTTGTAATCACGATTTGTAGCTTTAACATGGCTTCTGAAAATATGTGCAAATGTGAAGTTGGAAATCTGTGAAATCTGTGTACAAAAAAAAATTGTAAAAACAAAATTTGCTGCACAGGTGTACAAAACTAAAATACAAGTGCTTAAATCTCTGCATGGGTGTACAAACCTAAATTACACAAACCTAATTACACAAATCTATTTTACACAACCGTGGCATTCTGCCATAATAATCATGCCGTAATTAATAGGGGTCTGTGCAATGTTAGCTGCTGAATCCCTATTTTTTCTTACTGGAATTGTAACTTAACACACAGTCAGAGTCACAGCTTATGTGATGAGTGTTTTATGTTTGATTGTTCTCTGCTAATTTAAAAAAAAAAAAAAAAAGTAATATATGTTGGAAGCAATTTATATCTTTAAGTTCTCATCCTTGCACTAGAATATAGACCAGTTCATATTATAATGCTATCTTATGTGGTAAAAAAAAATATTTAAAAAATGATATCGCAAATCAAATCTCAAATGTCATATCTGTCAGGAAAAAATTACGATGAAATATTTTCCCTAAATCGTTCAGCCCTGGTTTTGTATACCTTTGTGCCAGTGAATACAATTGCAATTGGCAGGAACAGAACTGGCAGGAACAGAACTGAATGAGTCAAATTATGACAATAAAAAGAAAATATCTATGCAGAAGATATGTGCAGATACGTTAAACATTGCTTGTCAATGGACTTTTGTTATGAAACGGAACATTTTTACAGAATTAAGCAATTACGCAAGCCCCGCAGGGTGTCGCAAGGGTTTTGTTGTGTAGAATCTTCTTTCAGCAGTTTGTTGTTGGTCCACAGGCTACAGGTTACTTTGCTGAAGATACCAGCTATACATAGAATGCTCTGATGAATTTAACCTTTATGGTCAGATTATACATAGACAGGGATGGATATAACTGGTACGCAAGTATGCATTCACCTTTTAAAAATATGTGCGACAATCGATTGTTTGTGAAAGCGCAAATGCATATGTATTTTATGTGCATTTGTGCTGCTATGACAAGGAAATACCTTGCATTTTAACCTATATACCACAAATGAAGTAGTTAGCATATAAAGATTAAAATGCATTATATTTTGTTTTCATATCAGCGCAAATGCACATAAGTACGCATTTACATTGTTACCACAATCGATTGTCGCACATATCGTTTTTAAAGGTGAATGCGTACTTGCGTATCAGTTATTTCAATCCTTGTATAAAGATCAGCTTGTCTGTGATAGTATGTAGCATAACACATACCTATTCTCCGGAAAATGCTGGTGGGGTCCTGCCCTGTGTGGGGGCGCCGTCTGGAAGCTGTCACCCTACTAACAGACTTTACTCTTGTCTTTGAGGCTAAAAATAATATGTGATAATGTAGAGCTGAATTGGATGGAGGCATCCAGCGGTGAGGGGTTAGTTACCCCACCCCCCTGAGCCGCTTAAGATGGCATTTATGCGTATTTTCTTTGCGCCATCCCAAAGCTGTACTTGGTCCTCCTATTCCTACATGTCAGATGTCAGTTGAGCCCGTTAGCATTACAAGCTTCCTGCTATCTGGTTTATTTTTTGGTCCTATGGCCTAATGCAGTGTTTCCCAGTCTGGTCCTTGGGGATCCACATACAGCCTATTTTTGCTCCATCTGACAGGTCAAATGGGCTGTTCTGGCAGAAGGGCTGGTTTGAGCACCCTCTCCTGCATGCATGCCAGCTGAAATTATGGTTCTTGGTGCCTCTAATTTGGTGGCTTTTCACCTTTGCCAGAGGTATTGCTGTTAATTTTGGGGCTGCAGCCCTCATCTGGCAGAAGATTGGGTCTGAAACTGGGTGTTCCTGTTTCCACACGCCCACAGTAGGTGAGCAGGAGCTCCAGGTCTTGTACGAATGGCCAATTTCTAGCTCGCTCGCATAGAATGCCGGAACGGAGGCTGTCTGTCCCCCCAGCCACGTGCATCGCCGTTTCGTGTGAGCTGCCGTATGAAGAGCCCCATCCATGCTTTCTCTTGCCAGCTTCAGCTGCTACATGCTAGTAGCCCACTCCCCCACACTACCCGCGACAGCTGCAACTGAGCACTCCCCCACCAGGTCCACTCTTCCTCACCCCCCCATCCCATGGGGAGCAGGGGCTGCCTCTGCTCCAGCTGTCGGCTGCTGGGCCTCGTGCCCCATTTGCACATGATGGGGTGGCCCAAAACCTCCCTTGGCTTCCTGATTTGCAGGTGAAACCATGCTTATCCTTCTAATTGGCGGCTCAAAGCCTCACCTGGCTTCCTAACTGGTGGCTCAGAACCATGCTCGACTTCCTGATTGGCGGCCAAAGCCTCGCTCGGCTTCCTGTTTGGCAACCCTAAACCATGCTCTGCTTCCTGATTGGCAGCCCGAAGCCTCTCTCGGTTTCCTGATTCCGAAGTTACGCTCTACCTCTAGCTGCTGTGATTGCATAGGTAGATGTCAGCATCAGCAAACTGTACTTGCCGTTGACTGTAACCATCCGCGGTTGGACCTGACCTGACTTCTGAGTAACACTGTGGTCTCACACCTCCAAACCTGTGTGCTTGCCTCCTGCCCCCAGTTCTGTGTGTTGGGTTTACATGTTCTCCCTGTGTCTGTGTGGGTTTCCTCTGGTTAATGTGGTTTCCTCCCAGACTCCAGAAACATGTGGTTAGGTGAATTTGTGTATCTGTATTGCCCTTAGTGTGTGCCCTGTACCCTGTGATGCAGTGGCATCCCATCCAGGGTGTCCCTGGCCCTGTACCCTGTGATGCAGTGGCATCCCATCCAGGGTGTCCCCGGCCCTGTGCCCTGCGTTTCCAGGGATAGACTATGGGCTGAAGAAGCAGTTATGGAAGATGAGATGTTTTTATTATTAGCATTTAGTCATTTATTTTTATGTTTTAATATGATTCTGTTTTGTGATGGTTAGAGAACTTAATTTCAAACTTTGTCAAAGGTTTAATTGGAATTATTATAATCTATTTAGTAATGGAATTGTGCTCTCCAAAGTTAGAATTACTGATTTTATATAGCATTAATTTGCCTTTGAACCTTTGTTTCTGAAGTTGTCTAAATTATGCCACATGGTTATATTATTATATCCTGGTATATCCATGAGAATATGGTGATAGACGCATCCACACTATGTCATCCCAATGAAGATTTCATTTATAATTGAGAACAGAGGGGAAATGAATGCTGCGTACACTGACTTTCCGATGGGTTTCACTGTATGTGCACTGGATGTCTTGTGCTGATGATGTCATGATGTCATATTTCTCACCACGGCCACCTTATAATCTTCATAAAAGCATTCCCTTTATGTTTTTGGCTGTTTTGTATCATCGTCTGCTTAGTGAGGTACCATCCCTCCACACCAAGTGTGTGAGCTGTAGCGTCTGCAAGTTCCAGTTCCAGGTTCATGCCATTCAGACGCTGTGCTTGTCTAGATACGTCCAGGAAGGAGGGGACTATGGTTGCAGCTGAGGTGATGTCCTCATCGCGGTTGCGAAACAGCTTCTGGTCAGGATTCTGCAATCCCAGCGCCGCCTTTGAGAGAGCAGTATCGTCAGAAACTGCCAGGAAGCTTTACTAAATGGAGGAGGAGCTCTGAGACTGTTCATCGACTCCACTATTAGCAAAAAGATGCTGGAGGGGGTTTGGTAATCTTTTGTAAAATCCATCTATGTTATACCATAGATCCTGGTTTGAAGCTAATACCCCAAACCAAATAGTTCTAGGCTTCCAGCTAACTGATGGATTTAGATTTCAGACAACATGGAGCACAGTAGAAAAGCTAACCCAAGAAATCTGAGCTTTCATTTAAGACCCTGAAAAGCTTCTTGAAATGTGCTCGTCAGTAGTCATCTTTCTGCCATTGCAGTGCTGAAGTATCTTTCATCATATCTTGGTTTTGCTAAACGTGGAACATTTCTTGAACTGTTGTGTGACCCTTATGTCATTGCACTCTGGTTGAAACCTGGTTCTGAAATTCAGTAGTCAGCCACTCAGACCTCCTTTCCATGAGTAGGTTTAGGGCTGTGTAAGGGTGTCCCTTACACACTGGGTCTTGGGGTCAAGTATATTCTGTTTAGAAGCCAGTGGAAACGATACCAAACGATTCCTGACTGGATCCACGTGCTCTCTGTTTGTCCTTCAAGTTGTCCAGAACAATTTAATGTATAGCTTTGTGGTTTAGTAATGCGGGTAGTATTGTTGACTCATTGGGAGCTATGAAGCGAGCTGAAAATCACAAGATTTACAAATGTAACCATCTTGTTTATTACTTGTACATTTGTAAATCATTTTGAGACTGAGTCACTTATGGTATTATGTTCCCAGAATAACGGCTTTCTGTTCCTGTTGCCTGCCCTCTCTTTTTCCTCAGTAATTGTCCAGTAACAGATCATTACAGTGTGTTAAGTGTCTCTCTTCCTTCCACATTAGCTCAGTGCCATAAATGGGTTTGAATTGAGGTAGTTGGAGTTTTTATATCTGTGCGGAATGAGAGCTAACATTCAGATCAAAAGAAGTTTGGACTTGAGATGGACTGTGACTTACTCATTCTTGGCTGTTTCATCTCTTTCATGAGTAACAGATTGCTTTCCTAAGATTCACTGTGTCTTTTTGCCATAAGGTCATATGGTGTGGACACACGGCGTGAATGATTGTCTCCATCCTGTTGAGGGGGAAGATAGATTTGCTTTTCTGTGTCTGTAGGGTTGTTGGTGTGTGTATATGGTAAGGCTTTATGGTTTTCTGCAGACAGTGTGGGGGGACGGGGGAAGGAAGAAAACACATCCCACACAAGCCTTCAGGCGCACAGTACTCAATGAAGGCCACGCCCCCAGCCCAGCAGGTTATATATACATGGGCTGCCTAACATGACTAAGTGGAAACATTGTCAAGGGAAGTGAGAAAACAAGGAACCAGAGAAGAGTGGAGTTGTTCTTGAGGGAGAGCTTTGAGAAAGCATGCTTTTGGAGGTCCTGCAGCCCTCCAGCAGTTTTGAGGAAGACTCGTTCAGCCTGGGTAGCCGGCCATGCCTCACGGCGGAGGACGTGGATGGCTGTGCTCTGCCAGGTAGCCCGGCATCTGTTCCCTTTTTCTCTCTCTTGCTCTCTCGCTCTCTCTTTATCTTTTTATCTCTCTGCCTTCAGCTGGTAGAAGGATTTTGAGTTTTGAGGAAGAACTATTCAGCCGTGCCTCCCGGCAGAGGACATTGATTACTTTGTGTTCTGTCAGGTAGCCCTGCATCTGTTCCCTTTATCAGTCTCTCTCTATCTTTTTATTCCTTTGCCTCCAGCTGGTAGACAGATTTTTAGTTTTGAAGAAAGGCCATTTCTGCCCTGTGGCAGAGGACATGAATAGCTATGTTCTGTCAGATACCCCTGTATCTGATCCCCTTCTCACTCTTTCTGTCTGTCTTTCTGTCTCTCCACTCCCAGCTGGTGGCCGGATTTGTTCCTTTTGAAACTGGGAGCTATTTGGGGCATTTTGTCATTGGGGGGGATCATGTCTGCATACTGAGGAAAGTTAAGTGCATTGATGGAGTCGTTCCTGGGGCCATTATGAATGCAGGATTTCTGAGCCACTGCTAAGAAGAGAAGATGGTTGCTCAGATCTCAGCTCCTTGATTAATTTAAGCAAGGATCTTATTCGATTGTTAGCTTTAATTTAGGAGCAGTTAGCTTCCATGATTATTCTTGTATCCCTCTTTTCACCGCTGTCATCCCCCTCTCCTCATCTCCCCAAAAGGCTCTGAGCCCATCTCTCCTAGCCCTCCTTCTTCTCTTATTCATCCCACCATCTGTGACCACTCTTGCCTCGCCCTGATCCAAACCCAATCTCTTCATCTTGCCGCTCCTCCGCTCTCCACAGAGGCCCTTCACCGGCCCTTCACCTTGGACTCTGCAGCGCTGACCGAAGCCGTGCGCTGGAGCTCCAAGGAGAACCTGCTGGGCGCTGCCGAGAGCGACCCCAACCTCTTTGTTGCGCTTTACGACTTTGTTGCCAGTGGCGATAACACGCTGAGCATCACGAAAGGTATCCTCTCCTCCTCGCTATGGTATTAATGCATCATGGTTTGTTTTTTCCCCCCAAAACATACTGTTACTTGGTTACTTGGTGCCACCTTCTATGAAATGGAAATAATTCCATGCCTGTGAGTCAGAACGTCTTAGACTCTGAAGTCTGCCACACCCTTATTTTCTCCTAATGCATTTTAATGTGTAATCATCTCAAAGCTGCAATAAACACAAGTGGATGACTCACAGGATGGGCTTTCAAAGGCAGCAGAATTAGCAGTGTTCCCTTTTCTAATTCCCTCTTACTGCTGTCGAGTTTCATGCAACTGTCATCCACTCCTGCAGCCTGTAGCTTCTCTGGTCCATCCCTGCTTACAGGCAGAGGGCTAGAGAACTAGATCATCTGTAATCCCTGTCAGCAGCAGACCAGGATTGGTGCTCTTTTGGCTGTATTTCCTTGTTTTCCCTAGAACAGCTTCCCTATGTAGTTCATAGTCTGTTTCAAGCCCCTTATATGGGTGCATGTGGTTCTTCATACATCTGATGAGGAAAATGTACACGTTCGTTAGCAAGAAATGGCAAAGGTGACTTGCCAGGACCTGTTTCCTGAACATAGAAAATCACGTGACAGCCCCAAGCTACAGTATCAAAAACAGAAGAGTCGGGTTGCAGTGGCTGTTTGAGAGACAAGGCTTGGAAACCCAGAGTGGAATTATTGCATGCTAGTCAATGTCTGGTTTAGCATACTTTCCATTGGTCACTTTAATGAGGTGTTGGTCAGTAGAGCACTATAATTCCACCTACTGTGGGCTCTTAAGCCTCACTGCTTCCATCGTTATTCTGGAGGGGTGAAATCCTGAGGTCTGTGCGTCCCCCCCCCCCCCCACCTTGTTCCCAGGCGAGAAACTGCGAGTGCTGGGCTACAACCAGAACGGTGAATGGAGCGAGGTGCGCTCCAAGAATGGCCAAGGCTGGGTGCCCAGCAACTACATCACGCCCGTCAACAGCCTGGAGAAGCACAGCTGGTACCACGGGCCCGTGTCGCGCAACGCCGCCGAGTACCTGCTGAGCAGCCTTATCAACGGCAGCTTCCTGGTACGCGAGAGTGAGAGTAGCCCGGGCCAGCTATCCATCTCGCTACGCTACGAGGGCCGCGTCTACCACTACCGCATCAACACCGCATCTGACGGAAAGGTGACACCCCCCGCGATTTTGCTTTCTTAACAGCGAAATCCATAACAAGCTATTTTTCTGTTGGTTCTCACTGTGCCAAATATGTGTCTAGGCACCAATATTATCATGCAAAGACTCCATGTGTAGACATTCAACGTTTATTGGAAAAGATTTTCAGTGGTAGATATCTTAGGGTCAAGTCTTCATTTATTTTGCGTGAAATACTGTTTGTTTTATACCGATGTTCCCCAGATTACGATGGGGTTACATTCCGATAAACATATAGTAAGGCGAAAATATTATAAGGCGAAAATATTATAAGGCGAAAATGTTTTTTAATACACCTAACCTAACAGTTCGTCATAGCCTAGCAGGGTTGGGGGCCATTCCGGAATGCATTGATCAATTCCAGTCCAAATCAGGAAATGGAACTGGAGCTGGGATTGGAAAAAAAACTACAGGGAACAGAATTGGAGTTGAATTTGAATTTCAGGGAGATTTAAGTTCCAACTCCAGTTCCATTTCCTGATTTGGACTGAAATTGATCAATGCATTCCGGAATGGCCCCAACCCTGTAGCCTAGCATAGTCTACCTTAAACATGCTTAGAATCCTTACATTACCCTACAGTTGGGCAAAATCATTAACTCAAGGCCTGTTTATAATAAAGTGTTGAATGTCCCGTGTGATTTATTGAATAATCATACCCATCGTAAAGTCGAAATATCGTAACTCATGGAGCGTCTGTATAGGCTTATAGGGGAAACAATGTTTTTAGCTCATTTTTGAGCAGAAAATGCTCTGGAGCTTGTGCTCCCCGCCGTCACGCACCTGCCTGGTGACGCCCCCCCTGTCGGCCCGCCCGCAGGTGTATGTCACGTCGGAAAGCCGCTTCAGCACGCTGGCCGAGCTGGTGCACCACCACTCCACGGTGGCGGACGGCCTGGTGACCACGCTGCACTATCCTGCGCCCAAGTGCAACAAGCCCACCGTGTATGGCGTCTCGCCCATCCATGACAAGTGGGAGATGGAGCGCACCGACATCACCATGAAGCACAAGCTAGGCGGCGGCCAGTACGGCGAGGTCTACGTCGGCGTCTGGAAAAAGTACAACCTCACAGTGGCCGTCAAGACACTCAAGGTCCGAAATTGCTCACTTAACATTTTGATTAGTTATGTGCCAAAGCCTTGATATGCCTTCTTTTTAAAAAGGAATGCCTTTTTCCCTTTCACTCTGTTTCCTGTCTTTTGTTCAGGGCGTCTAATGGAAAATAAATTCTATTGAACGCATCTGTTTTGGTGTCTAGTCTCCATCTAGTGGCCGAGGGCAGCACAGCCGCTGTCATTTGTAGTTTTGTGACTGTCCTGTTCAGTATTACTTCACTCTTAACAGGAGGACACCATGGAAGTGGAGGAGTTCCTAAAAGAAGCCGCTGTGATGAAGGAGGTGAAACACCCGAACTTGGTGCAGCTGCTTGGTGAGTGTGGTGAAGGTCACCCCATGAGGTCATTCACAGTTCTTCATAACTGGGCGACCTGGGGGCGCAGAGCGGACATGAGCACATCGTCAGCTGTGGGTGATTCATCCCTGCTTTCTTGGCCCCTTCCATCCCTCCCAGGCGTTTGCACCCTGGAGCCTCCATTCTACATAGTGACAGAGTACATGCCCCATGGAAACCTGCTGGACTACCTGCGCGAGTGTGACCGTGAGGAGGTCAATGCTGTGGTGCTGCTCTACATGGCCACCCAGATCTCCTCGGCCATGGAGTACTTAGAGAAGAAGAACTTCATCCACAGGTAAGAGGTCGGCTTTGTCAAACGAGGAGGCACTAAGTTCCTCTCCAGTCTTATGGAATTCTGTTCATTGTTTTCCACATTCCTTTGCTGCTGTTCCAGAGATCTGGCAGCCAGGAACTGTCTCGTGGGTGAGAACCACGTGGTGAAGGTGGCAGACTTTGGGCTGAGCCGCCTGATGACTGGAGACACCTACACAGCCCACGCTGGAGCCAAGTTCCCCATCAAGTGGACGGCCCCCGAGAGCCTGGCATACAACACCTTCTCCATTAAGTCTGATGTCTGGGGTAAGGGAGCAAGTCCGAGAAGCTCACTCGAGTGTATGTGACGTATTTAAAATGGGAGTTTCAGTACAGCGAGGATGGACTCGCACACAGAGCACAAAATGAGTCTGCAAACCGCAGAATGAGTTTGTCATGAGCCAGCTTGAGTCATGGTGTCACCCTGTTCCTCTTTCCCCCAGCCTTCGGAGTCCTGCTGTGGGAGATCGCCACCTACGGCATGTCTCCCTACCCGGGCATCGACCTGTCCCAGGTATACGACCTCCTGGAGAAGGGCTACCGTATGGAACAGCCAGAGGGGTGCCCACCCAAAGTCTACGAGCTGATGAGAGCCTGTGAGTTTTTCACTTTGCAGTAATCGCAAAGAGGGAAAAAGATTCCCTCTGAATATTAGCTGCATGACCTTCGGGGACCTTCCGAAGGCCTTTCAGCTGGCCGATTCAGAGTTGTCATTTTTGCTATTTAGGCTGGCAGTGGAGTCCAATGGATCGTCCCTCATTTGCTGAGGCCCACCAGGCTTTTGAGACGATGTTTCACGACTCCAGTATCTCTGAAGGTACAGATACTGCTCTTCATACCATTGTTCTCCAGTTAGTGGACACTTTATCTTCTCCTTTGATTTTCACCCACATTAACCTGGAGATAGCAATGTACAAAGGTTATAATGCTGATAGTTAACCGGTTGTTGTCTTGGCTGTGTTAGATTCTATAAACTCTCCTAGAGACCTGCTCAGCATTTTCAGAGGCTAACATGCTAGAATATTCAAAAAATTGTCAATGCTATCGCCTAACAATACATCCAATGGGTAGCTGCTGCTAGCTGGGCTCTGCATCACAACACGATGTTTTTTGACAGTGAGGTTTGCCTCTAATAATTAACATTTTCTTGGTACTCTGCCTTCGCATCCAGGAAAACCTCATGAAAGTTTTTTCAATGTGTATCAGTGTAGGATTGTGTTATGATGGTTATGAGATGTCTGAGAACTGCCCCTTTCTTTGCCCCCCCCCCAAATATCGCTCCGTCGTGCAGAGGTGGCGGAGGAGCTGGGTAAGACCGCTTCTTCCTGCCCCCCGGGAATAGCACACCGGTTTGACGCCGATCCTTCCTCCAACTCTCGCACGCTGAAGAAGCGCACGGAGAACAAGGAGAACCTGGAGGGCGGGCTGGACAGCAAACCCGCCCCCCCTGGCCCCTCAGGTATCCCAGCATCCCCCAGCTCACAAGCTGAGAAGAATGATGGCAGCATGCTTCACTGAGACGCACAGACAATGATCTGTCTGGCAGGGCGGTCCCTGGCACACCACTCTTGTGTATTCATAAATAAACAGCCCCTTATTAATAGCCATACTGATACTGTATTGGTATGGTTTATTCGAGTAGCCCATGATAAATGTATCCCAGGCAGCAAAGGGCCCAAGCCAGTGACACATGGCCACCTCGTCTAGGATAAGTGGTTAGAAGATGAATGGATGGAGTGTGTGTGTGTGTGTGTGTGTGTGTGTGTGTGTGTGTGTGTACACGTGCACTGATGAACATATATGTGCATGATCATATGCATATGATGTATGTTCTTCTCTCAACCTTCATTGGCATGTGTCCTCGTTACCTTATACAACTTCAGATGTTTCACAAGCACTGAACTCATCGTCTCCAAACTGTATAATTAGCTAATTCACATTGTACTAGCCATTCACCAGTCTGCGGTATGAACATTGATTATTGGTATTGTCCCCCTTACATTACAATGCTAATTTCCACTTTATAGTTGTTTTCTTTAGACACTATTATAACTGGCCTATGAGGCCTTGATTGTGCATGTTTGTGTGTCTGTCAGATCTGTCGTGCTCATCTCGTGTGATGATTGCTCACCATGCATGTGTCTGTATCATGCCTGAGGCATGTAGCATGACCAATCCCTTTTACTAACAGTGCCATCCTTCGTTGGTCTCAATTATTTTATTTATTTTTATTTTGAGTATTTGTATATGTATATTTATTGCATATATGTACATTTATGTTCATCCTGTAAATAAATCAGAGATTCCTTGACGTCTGCTTTTAAAACTGGACTGAAGGGGGGTGTGTATGGTAAAAACCTCTCACCCAGCATTTAATGAATGGCACAGTTGTAAAATAGCAGTATAAAAATGTAAGATTCATGATAAGTAAAAACACAATTGATTTAAAATCCTACACAAAACTAAAAATAACAAAGCAAAGTATTGCACAGAACCTACAGATCGGCACATGATCTGTTGTGTGTGGTAGTGTCACTGCAGCATGTTAAAATAACACTACAATAAAGTGTGTGTGCGTGCGTGCGTGCGTGCGTGTGTGTGTGTGTGTCTGGAGATTGTTTATATTACATTGTGGGGACCAAATGGCCCCCACGATGTGATAAAAGCCTGTTATTTTGACATTGTGGGGACCATTTTTCAGGTCCCCACAAAGATCTGTGAGTGCAATCAAAAAACTTAAAATGCCAATTGTTTGCTAACTTATAGTTAAGGTTAGGGCTGGGTAGGGGTTCAGGTTGTCATGTTGGGATTAGAGGTTTTCCCCATAGAAATGAATGGAGAGTCCCCACAAAGATATAATTACAAACCTGTGTGTGTATACAGCTCTGGAAAAAATTGAGACCATAGCAACATTTTTAGTTTCACTCACTTCGCAATGTTTGGGTATGCCCCTGTCTAAAATATATTTCTTTTGCAAACTGCAGCCAGTTTCTCATTAATGAATGGCTTCTTCCTTCCTTTATGTGACTTTAGTCCTGCTTCTAGGAGCCTGATACAAACTATCCTAGCAGTGTACTTTACACCTGCACTTAATGTTTCCCCTTCCGTTTGAAGGTCACTTGATGTCATCCTCTGATTCAGTTGACGTTCATCTTGACTATTAGATAGCCGCTTCTGCCCTCTCCCTGGCTGGTTTTTGGTCGTTCTCTCTGGCAAAGCCAGTCTGCGTCGCAGTGTAGCCTTCTGCCAGCAGAACTGGGATTAAACCAGGATTTAACAATGCAGATTCTTAAAAAATATGGAGTGGTCTCTTTTTTTCGAGAGCTCTATAAAAAGATTAATGTATGTGTAAGAAATGTGTAACAATTCAGTGTTTGTAGATGGAGTCCTTCCATTTTTATGCTGGGTATTATCTCCATAGATATGTTGTTAAGTTTGTTAGGCATTGGGCATCCTGTGTAATTGCTTGTTTAGCTGGGCAGGGCCGTGAAGGCAAGGCCTCTGGCTTTCTTTGTGTACAAACAGCCTGGTTTGTAATTTGAATTTGTGTGGCTCCCCCCAGGGCTGACGAGCAGCCGGGCACTGGGGGACGGCGGGGGGGGCTCACCCGCCGTGCCAAGGAAACAGCGGGACAAGTATCCTGCCGGCTTTGTGGAAGACCCCCAGGAGGCCACCTTCAGCCGGGATCGCCGGGCCGGCTTCTTCAGCTCCTTCATGAAGAAGAAGTCGTCGTCAACCTCCTCCTCTTCCTCCTCTTCGTCTCCATCCCCACAGCCTCCGCAGAGCCTGCCTGCCCCCCCGAAAAGGAGCAGCTCCTTTCGAGAGATGGAGAACCAGCCTCACAAGAAGTACGAACCCGCGGCTTGCGTCAGTGGCCCGCTAGGCGATGATGCCAACTTCTCGCCGTCTCACGGGGACGGAGGCCGCATTCACTCACGCTGCTGCGGGGCCAGTTTTGGCCAAAGGGCTTCTCCCAGCTCCACAACAGGGGCATCTGGAACCACTTCTGCCCCTGTGGGTAGTAGCTGGAGCAGCCTGGCAGGGTTTTTCACTCCCCGGCTAATCAAAAAGACTTTGGGCCTGCGGACTGGGAGGCCCTCTGGGGCAGACGACGGACACAGTGCGGGCAAGCCTTTCCCCAGATCGAACTCCACCTCGTCCATGTCAGCTGTGCTTCCTGACCTGGAGCGAGCGACGCTGACCCTCCCCCGCAACCGAAGCAAGCCCCCGCTGGAGCGCACCATCTCTACCACGTCCCAGCCAGAGAGCGTGGCCACGTTCCCCTCTGAGCCAGTCATCCGTAAGGTGGACGAGGGTACCGCTCAGATCCGCGACCGACCCAAAGCCAAGCTGTTGCCCCGGGCCGTGGCCACGGCACCAAGGGTGCCTGGCGTTGGGGGCGAGGCCACTTCTGAGTCTCACCTGTGGGGCAAGGAAGGTGCAGAGGGGCCGGAGAGAGCAGGATGGCCATCTTCTGGCAAGCCAGCAGGTCCAGGCCCCATGGCCACCCCCCACAACCACAAAGTGCCAGTGCTGATTTCACCCACATTGAAGCACGGCCCCGCAGACGTGCACCTAGTGGCTGTTGATTCTCAGGGGAACCGATTTAAGCTTCTGTCAGAGCAGGCTGACCGGGACCGGCCCCGGGCGCTCAAGCCACGGTGCGCCCCGCCGCCACCACCCCCACCTGGCCTGCGCCTCCTGCACCACCCATCCTCCCGGAACGCCGGGGATGGGGCGGCAGAGCCGGCAACTGGCAGCGGCACGGACATCAATGGGGATGTGCCAAAGAAGCCGGGAAGAGCAGTGGGTTTGGGGGGCGGGAGGCCACCGGTACAGCCACCACAAGTGCCCCCACTGCCCTCTGTGTCACCCCTGCCAGCCAGTAGCACTCCGGCAAAGATGGCAAATGGCACAGCCCCCAGTGGCATCTCTTCCTCCTCCTCCTCTTCCTCCACCTGCTCATCTCCCTCCTCACTCCCTACCGGCAGCTCTAAGGTGACCCTGCGGCAAACTCGGAGGCAGCCGGACAGGGCGGCGCTGGACAAGGCCGGCAGAGAGCTTGCGGTGGAGAAAGTGAGCAAGGAGGCACTGCTGGAGTGTGCGGACTGCCTAAGCAGCGCCCTCCTCAGCAGCGCCGAGCCCTCCTCCAGCAGCCAGGTCCTGGATGCCGGCCACCAGCTGCTGAACTACTGCTCGGGCTACGTGGACTGTATCCCACAGACGCGCAACAAGTTTGCCTTCAGGGAGGCGGTGGGCAAGCTGGAACTTGGCCTGCAGGAGCTGCGGGCGTCATCCGGGGGCGGCGCGGCCGCTGCCTCGGGACCTGGCTCAGCTTTGGACAATCTGCACAACTGCATTAAGGAGATCAGTGACGTGGTGAAGAGGTAGCCGCTACGGCCCCCCCTGTGCCGCACCCCCATACTTTGCATTGACGGTATGGGACACGGCAGAGAACCTCAGTACCTCACTACAAATAGTATTTTATATGGTTTGCTTTGTGTCATTGGGGGGGGGGTGGTAATGTTATTTTCCCACAAGAACATTCATTTATTAAACACTAAAGACTATATACCAATCCAGGACTGGTTATCCACTCTTCCCAGTATAGCTTTTGTTCAGCACCCATTTTCTTTCTTCCCCCCCCAAACCTGTGTAAATCCTATGAATAAGACGACCTGCCAAACTGGAAAAGTTTTCAAGGAGCTTCCTGTCCCATGGCTGAAAGACATCACAGGTGCTGAGGATGAGAGTTTGTCCTGCTTTTGGTTTGATATAAAGTGCTATGGCCAACCTGTACTTATGCAACCAGACTCCCCACTTTGCAACCTGCAGGTACAGGAAACCAATGCCTGTTAACCCCATTTCAAGTATCCATTCTCTGGTTTTTGTGTAACTTGGGTTGTACCTGTTAGTGAAGTCCTAACTGTGCTCTGCCCTCCCTCTTACCAAGCTCCGCCTATATAATTCACACCGCCCTTGACAATCCCACCTATCATCTCACCCCGAGGTACCTGACCATGCCCATCTCGCCCCGCCCCAATCCCGAACATCAGCCAGTTTTCTTTCCGAAACTAGGCGCCTTCGCTGTGTGGCACGCATCGTTGCTCTCATGGTCCCGTCTTTATATATGATTTCTTTTGTTTTTTTTTGTTTTGTTTTTTTTTTTTTTTTAAGTAAAAACTGCTGCATACTTCCAAAAATCCTTACTAAATCCGGCGTGCAATGTGCGATGTTTGGGCTCATAAATAAATGACCAGGAACAATTCTGGCCATTCTGTTCAGGCCATCTTTCAGTGTCTGTTATTGCAGATACTCTGAAATAAAGGTCCTTGAAACCACAGTAGTTTATAAAAAAGCTTGAGTAATGTGCTAGCAAGATATATATTGGATGTGTTGGTTGAACACTAGAATGTCTCCATTTATTAACTTGAATTTTGAAATTTATTGTTGTATCTATTGAACTTGAATTTTTTTGGAAGCACAAGAGAGTGTCTAATTTATTTAAAGATCTATAAAATGTCATGCAGTATTCAATATCCGCAAAAATACAAAAATGCCTAGCCTGCTTTCTTGAAACGTATCTGTACGAAAGTGCAATACTGCTAAGTTAGCGTAAGTGCTAATTTGTAAAACACCACAGCCTCAAGAAGCAGTTTCCATTGCAATTTTATTTCCGGTGAATGTATGTATTTGTTTGCGAATGCTGACATTAAAGCACAATGTGTTGAAGATGTGAATTGAGGAGACTTGCTACATGGAGCTTTGCTGTCCTCTTATTTCTGCATCTCGCTGTCTTTAAGGGCACATTTCCTTTACAGATTTTGCCTTAGATTTGGTTACAGACTTATGTCATTTTTATTGTATTTTTGAGAGCTGTTAGATGTGACTGAAAATTGTGGTTTCGGTGTATATCTTAAATGGTCTAGAAGAATTTTAAAATATGATGGTTTTTGTTAAGATTTAAAGAAATGTCAGCTTTGAGGGCAGCTCAATCTATTTTCGTTTCTTGGCTATGAGTGGCGTTTAACATGCAGTGTCTGTAACATCGGCTTCAGTTAAATCCAGCAAAGTCTCAGAAAAACCTTTACAAATATACCTTTGCAGAAGCAGCATTGCTGCAAATATGGCAGCCTAACTGAACGCAGCCACATGTGGCATACATATGCGGTGAAGGTTTCTCTCAGTTTCGTTTACTATATGAGGAAATGTTTCATGAGGAAAAATAAGACATTGATGTGCGTTCACATTTAACCAAAACGACTGAAGAGTAACAAAAAAATCTAAATTATAGGCCTACATTTATCCGCTCCTCTTCGTTAACACCCATATTAATGTGCCTACTCTAAAAAAAATAACACTTTATATTATTCAGCTTCTACTAACTTTGCTTACATATGCAATTGCCTTATAAGAAGCTGTGAAGAGAATTAGTAAAAAATAATACATGCTGCGGTATGTTCCTTTGGTTTCTGCATATAAAAATATTTTGCACCTCTTGACAAATACAGAATCCTATCTTCCTGACCTAAGCGATTTACACTGGAACAAGTTGTGAAAATTGGTGATTTATTTATTTTTCCCTTCCAGTTTTTCCATATTTGAAGCTCTTCTCACACGTCTCATGAAGTTCAGTTAGGAACAAATTTCATTTGCCGGATTTATTTACATTACTGTGAAATTGCACTGTTGTCGTTCCTGTTTACATGTGGAGTACCAAGCCAATTTTGTCTGTTCGATAATTTGGCTAAGCGACACTTGCATAAAGTTTTCACTTTTGTTTTCACAGTGGGATTCAGTTTAAAAATCTTTCATCCTTGATACCAGAAACCATGTTGCCCAATAATTCATTTGTGCCTTTTATGGTGGATTTTTAATGTATTGTGCACTACAAAGTCAAAGCGAAATACACTAACTTTTTTTTTTTAAACATATTTTTTTCCGCTGATGGTTTTACGTTTTCCAATTACTGGAATGTATTTTTGTTGACAGGTAAATTGTTGGTCTGTACAATTTGTATTGGTGGTCAAAGCTTCATATTGAGCATTGTTCTACAGCTATGGTCCATCTGCCATAATTATTACCGTACAAATGCAAGGTCATTTAACACTCAGTTTGCCATTACTATAATTATTTGTGTACTAAATATAACACCATCTTAATAATTGATTTGTCTTTTGTCTGGTAGTTCTGTTAACTCTGTTAACACAGAAACACTTCTTCCTACAGTAAATGAACTGGTATAAGTATTGGTCAGTATTTTCTCTGAATTTTACCATTTTAGACCCATCAAATGCTCCCTAAATGCACCCCTACCCCACCCCTATGTTCATACACATGGCCCTGGTCAGTTATTGTTTTATACGTTGTAATGTAGATTGCCAGGTTGCAGACCCTCCTTCTCCTGAAGTATTGTTTAACTCCATGTTTCCTGACCTGCAGACAGTCCACGTTTTTGTTCCCTCCCAGCTCCCTACCAAAAATGTGGAGCTTGGAGGGAGCAAAGACATGGACCACCTGCAGATCCCCAAGGACTGGGTTGGGAAACACTTGTTTAACTAATGCTTTGTTCATTTTAATCCATACAGTTTTCCATTTGTATATACAGGGGTGTCACATTATTACTGGAGATATGTTCTTCGTGTTTGTGATATAGATCTGTAAGTTTATTTATTTTGTTTTTATTTATTTTTAATTTTGAAGCTGGAAAGGGCATCCTTGTAACACTATGTCATTATTGTTTGTTTTTAAGCATTGTTGATTTTCATGATCAGAGTTAATACCAAAGGCCACTTCAGTTTTACTAGTGCAATCAAAAAATAACACATAATGTAAATATACAACTTTTAACAGGGATTTATAATATCAGATGTTAACTGATTAACATTACCTGTATTTTCTTTTTTAATGTAATATATTTTGTGTGTTTCTAATTTAAATCTTACATGGGATACTGTATTACTGTGAAGTTCTCTCAGTGTTAAACTTGGTGTAAATAATGCATAAATAAAAATTAAACAAACTTTTTTTTCCTTTGTCTAATTTGCCTAGCTTTATTGTGGGGATGAAAAGTAGACATCAATGTATTTCAGAATATTTAGTTACCAGTGTATGCAAAACTTTACATGCAGAACTTTGGTTAAATGGTTGAAATGCTTAATATGCATGTTTAAAAGCAGATACAGAAAACATAATTTAAGGGGACATTTAGCTTTTCAAAACAAGAGGACAACAGGAGAAAGACGCAAAGAGGCAAAACAAATATGCATGCAGAGTGTAGGAAGCAAATGTCAACATGAAACAAAGTGAAATCCCAGACATTTCAGGCATTTTAGGTCCCAAAAAAGTCAGAAAAATTGTCATGAGCACTATAAAGTGGGAGAAAGTTAGGACAATTCAAGAGGCCCCCAAGTGACTGCGGCCCTAAAAAAATCTGGAACATAATCTTGATTTATTTGGGTTGGGGCCTCATTATGATATGCTTCCATGGGGCCCAAAATCTTTAGCGACATGGTCACCCTACATAACCAAGTCAGTCGTGTCCTTGTGGAAGTGAAATTTAAGTCATACGTACACATTATTTTAATCATAGTCAGCTGGAGAAGAACTGTTGTTTTGGGAGATGGTCATTTAATCCTGTTTGGCCGTGCTGTACCAAGTCCCAGTGAGAACACGACATTGTGCTCTGTGCCCTTTTTAAATTGTAACACAAATGACAGCAAAAACTGGGGAGGAAAGCAACCATTCCACTGTGAATAAATGTATTCATAATATCATAACTCCACAGAGAGAGAAACCCACCAAAAATTTACGACGCTGTTTAAAGTTGAAGGGGTTAGCGGAGACGAAATCTTACTCCGGAGTCCGGACATCACTGACTACACACCAGCGACAGATGTTGCCGCGCGAGCACGTCTGTCCGCTGTGCGTGATGACGCAGCGCTGCTCCCTTTTCCCCACAAACGCTCCGCCCCCTCCCACCTTAGCCAAGTGTAAAGATGGCGTCCATCATGGAGGGGCCTCTGAGTAAATGGACTAACGTCATGAAAGGCTGGCAGTACCGATGGTTCGTCCTGGATTACAATGCCGGGCTGCTGTCCTACTACACGGTACGCGCCTCTCGCCGGTGGGAAAGCGGGGTTATAAGAAGGCTATGCAGTGGTCGCCTTGATTTTTCGTTAATATTTCGCTAGAGCGAGCTCCGAATAGACCGAGTGCGGAAGAAAAGGCCCGTTGCCAGGAGTTTGGAATTTCTCGGTGTGGGGAGGGGGTGGGCACTATTACTGAAGGCGCTCTCGACCAATCGGAGCCCGAGTTACAAAGGGGCTAGCCAATGATAATGTAGTCTCGAACCTGTTGGTTAAACGGTGAAATGCGTCTAGTCGGAGAGGCTTGGGAATGCGTGTCTACTCCGTGTTGCTGGCCTGCGCCCGTTTAAGGGTGTTGTCCCCAAAATACGTTTTGTGCTTGCTTAATTTGCTATAGAAACAGAAATCGTTGTGTATGGAGATTTTTATAGTCTGACTTGTAGCATGAACAAGCATAACATGTTTTAACTTTACAGTACAATGCAAGTACATGCGTAGCGAAGTAAACGACAATATTACCTTGTCATCTGTAAATCACAGTAAGCATGTATTCCACCCTTCAACTGTTACCATGAGCAGGATTTTGTTTCGTGAGATTAGTCGTCACTTGGTAGATCCGGTTTGTACTGTACTGTACTTTGCATAGTTCAGTTTAAGCATTTTGGTCGGGGGTGGGGTGCGGGGCTATAACTATAGACAGAGAAAAGGACTCAGAAACCCGTAACAAAATCAGTCGTGCTACATCCTTTTGGGATGATTTTCTTAGTATTAGTTATAGACTTAACTGTCCGTTAAGTAACGTGATACACTTGAAAACGCGCAGCCAAGTATTGTAATTTAAATGACACGTCTGTTTCAGTCACACCGCTGTTGTGCCGGTTTGATAACGGTGTACGGTGACAGTTGTATTCAGATAATTATTTTAAGTAAATCCTGCTAGATTCTGTACTTTAACATGGGTTATTTTAATATAAATAATTTGCTGCTTTGTGAAATTATTTGGGTGTAACAGCATTACATCTCTAAAACCATTAGTGTAACTAAGATATTTTTACAGTATATAAAAATCCCGATTGAACTGGAAGCAGACGTCTTTTTTAATATTCAGTGTCCGTTCAGATTCTGTTTGGTAGTCATGATGAGTTTACGCTGTTTAAAATTTGCATTTATCAATGACCAGCTGTAGGTCAGTTTTGCTGGTAATCGGCTAACCGAAGTGTTTCTGCTGTTGTACCGTATGTGGCTTTAGAAATCGTAAACGGTTAGAAATAGACAGTTACTTAACGACTCAAGGATTATTATTTGTCCCATGCAAGGCATACAGATCGACTATAACCTGCAGTGAAATGAAAGGCGGCCAACTCTGCCATAATAAAAATATCAACCATAAAAGATGAAAACGGAAACAAACAATCCTCCATGGATTACCACCTTATCGTGGTGGAGGGGTTTGCGTGCCTCAGTGAACCTCACCTGTTCCACAGTGGGTAGCACTGTTGCCTCACATATCCTGGGCAGGGGCCCCTGGCTCTGCATTGTGCCATTTTTCTGTATTATTTCTTGATATTCCAGTTTCTTCCTACTATCCAAAATGTGCAGTTAGATTAGTAGGTGTTTCCCCACAAAGTGACTCTGCGTCCTGCGATGGACTGGCATCCATTCAGGGTGTCCCCGGCTCCCCACAGCCCTGTACTAGATAAACGGCTACACAAAATGATGTTTATGCTCTTATGATGGACCTTGTTATGTTCTTTCCTCTACAGAAATCTTGTCATAAGCTCGAAGCCTAATTTAATTATAGCACCAGTTCTTTCCTAATAATCATTGTTAACACACCTCTCGGTTTGGACATGCCCAATGACCTGTGTGGTAATTATTTACATATCATGTACCAACTTCCCACATTGTTCACTTTCATGTCTGCATATACGGCCATTTGCACACTAGATATACTGCCATTTGCACACTGCCTACCATGCACACTAGATATACAGGCGGTCCTCTACTTACGAACTTACAGTCCTCTTCGTTCGTATGTCTGAAAGTCCAAATTGTGTTCATTGAGCTCCCATTTCCTGTCAGCACCATCAAATTTTGTTCTGCGTGCCAATTCTGCCTAGTATGAATTCTGGCTGCTACTCACACGGCGCAGCAGAGTAGCGTGCGTACTCCCAGTATCCCAGTTCTTTAACCAATACGCAAGTACAGATGTGCTCCCTTGCGATCAAAGTTTGCTCCGTTTTTATTATGAAATATTTTGTGCATCCATTATCCATCATGGTTGGTGAAAAGCATAAGGCTTTACACTAGATATACTGCCATTTTCATACTGCCTACATTGCACACTGCTTACCATGTACACTGGACATACTACCATTTGCACACTGTCTCTGAATAGTATTTTCATACATTGCTTCTCTTTTGGTGCAGTTGCTGGCCTGATTTACATCTCCGTTCAAGTTGTACCAATATGACTATGCGCGTCAGCAAATCATTAATCTTGAATGAATTCATTGGATGACATGTAAGGCCAATGCTATGTGCACTGTTCACATAATTTATATTAGCGTTCTGTGTTTGACTTCCCCTTTCTATTGCGTTTTTGTTATTTTAATTTTAGTTCTCTGTTGTACATGTTGTACAAATGTCTGTGGCTTGTTTTACTTTTATGAGGCTCAGCTGAATGATAAAGGTGGCATTTGTTCAGCCACACTGATGTGAGTCTCCCTCTGGGCAAAGCACCGATGATCTGTGCATTTCTTTTTCAGTCCAAAGACAAAATGATGCGTGGCTCCAGAAGAGGCTGCGTGCGCCTTCGGGTGAGTGCCAGCCTCGCCGCAGCACCTTACACCTTGCAGATATCTGAGGGGCACCGCTGTTGGTCCAGTAGCCTGAATTTCCCCAGGATGCCGGGAGACGTGTGAATCAGTAAAGCTTGGCATTAAGTCTTCCAGTACATAAAGTTGGAAAGCCATTTAGCAGTACCAGGGACCCGTTTCAAAAAGCAAGATTAATTGCTTACCTGGATAACTTGTCGGATATAATTTACTCCACTTTAAATGGCCTTTATCTTCGTTCACTTACATTTAGCCCGGACGACTTTTAAATCTTAGAGGTTGTATGCTTAAGCGAGAAATCCTGCTTTATGAAACGGGCCCCAGTTCTAGCCTGGTTAATTGTTAGCCATTGTTAGCAATATCAGTGGATAACAACACATTATGCGGTATTTTGCCTAGTGCTACGTCCACAGATAGCGGTTGGACAGTACTGTGTGTTGACCGATATAATGAGGCACAAATAAGACTTAAGCGCTAATAAACAGTATAAAACTACAGCTTTAACTTCTGTTGATAAAAGGGCGCAGCCATCTTGAATTCTCATGGTTTGGTCGATTCCTCCGAGTAGGAATTACGACTTGAGGGGGCGTCCCAGTTGTAATTTCCAACTAGCAACTCAATTTCTGAGTTTTGTGTTCAATTGGAATGCATTATTAATGTGTAACTCCCTTTACTGACTTGGGAATGCATTCTGCAAGCGACTGTTTTACCCCAGAATAATTCTCGTGGCACTACAGCCAGCTTTAAAATGTCTTTGTTTTTACGTGTTTCATTTCTGTTGTTGCAGGTGATTCTAGTGGCTTTTGTCTGTGGCTGTGTTTCTGTGATGTTTTGTGTTACAGGCCAGTTTCCTAACTCTGGGGCATGATAGCAGTTCCCCTTTCTGGATCTTGATCCTGCCACCTCCCAGGCACAGGTTTAGGTGCTGCTCCTGTCTCGAGGATGTATCGCACTCATTTCAGTTATGAAATAGGTAGTTCTCAGAAAATTGTAGTTGGTTGTGACCAGTAGATGGCATTATATTTGCAACATTATCCCAGTTCCAGAACATGTAGCATTTTAAGGAATGTGTACACATGATACCAGTGTTTTATTGCACATTGAAAATTAAACAAAA